GCGCACCTTGTGCTCATATCCAAGTCAATATCAGCAATCCTTCCTCGGCGGAGGGCCATGGAATTGGATCTCGCATTGCGTTGTGTGTGGTGCCGGTTGCGACACGCAAGACCACACCAAATTCAAGGTGTCGTTTTTGGTTCCCCTGAAGCCTGATCGTTCGTTGTCCCAATCCCAACACCACCACCCCTAAGCGCAAATCTTCTGCCCCTCCAGTGTCCTTTTGTTCATGTCATACAGTACTGCCCATGGTGTCAAATTCCTAAGCCCGCCGTACGTTGAGTGGAGAGCTGGAAACGAGAAACAGTTTAAACGTGTCAAAGTTTCTGCTGAGTTTATAAGCACTGGTCCCACTGGTGGGAGGGGGGTGCAATTCCGCTAATACTGTACGAAAACACCGTAATGCATGCGAAACCTGCACACGGGATTTGGTCGTAAATTTTGAGTCGTTCCCCCCGATCTCCACATTTTCCCCATCCCCTCCCCCTGTTCCCCCTCAGTTTTACACGCGGCGCAGCACAAGAGTTCATTTACCGTTTCAGAACTATATCGAACCGTCACCGAACGCTCAGAAACTTAGTTAACCGCACTAAAGAACCATCTGTAATTTGTTATCATTCCCACCTTGCTATTGCTCTGCATGAGCAGCAGCAGCAGCAGCAGCAGCAGCAGCAGCAGCAGCAGCAGTAGCAGTAGCACTGACCACAGCAGCAGCACCCCCTCTCGCAGCCACGGAACCAGCAGCTGCAAGCGCCGCCATCAACCGAGCACCACACATTCAATCCTAGTTGCAGCAGTATGCGTACTGATTGGCATTGCAATCTGCTCGGCGTCTCCTCCTGATAGCCTGCTGTGTCGTGGTATTAGTTCACCGCATCTCACGCCTTCGTGTTGCTCACCATAGCCTGAAGCTGACTGCGTGATCTAAGGGCATGGCGACTAGCAGTCCGCGCATACAGAGCTGTAGATTAAAGCTGCAGCCGCTTCGGCTAGATGCACTGAATGATGACGAACCGGAGTTGGGGGCTTATCGCGTAAGCGAGTCCTGCCGTACCGCGAATGCTGCTGTTTCTCGCAGGCCGCCGGTTCATAAGGGAAGAGCTCACCCGGTACTTCAAACGAGCCACTCCACTGGTAACATTGTAACATTTCGTTTGGCGAAAGTTGAGCCGGTCGCGAAGCAGGCAGCCGTTGCGCCAGCAGGAGCAACAGCGGAACGCCGATTTCTAGCCGCGGATTCGCCGGGAAGTGCCGTGTTCACGCGATGGGCTGGCTGCGACGACTACTACGCCGACGACGTCGACGACCCCTCCTGCGACGATTGCGACGATCGCGACGAGTGCGACGCCCTCGGCGACGTCATCGCCGGCGACGCCTCAAGCAGTAACAGCGACTTCGAAACGAACGACGTGGATCAGCATTTCAACAACTTCAGCCGAGCCAGCAGCTTCGCGGAATTTTCCGCTGGAATCCCAACCTCGGGGCGGCATGCCCCTCACAGGAAGGCAAGCCAGTCGCAGCCCTTGACTCCCGCTGCGACGCGAGAGAATCCGCGACGAATTTCAAGCCAGTCGCAGGAGGGGTCGTCGACGAGGGGGCTGAAGGACGAGGCGTCCTCCCGCTTCACAGGACGAATTTCAAGCCAGTCGCAGCCCTTGACTCGCGCTGCGCCGCGAGAGACGCCGCGAAAAACGCCGCGAGAGACGCCGCGTCCCTCAGCGCATTTCCCGCCGTCCGCCGCCGCAGCCGCCGCCACAACCCGCCAGTTCCTGTGGTCGTGCGAGGAGTCGGAGGAGGACGAAAGCGCGGCGGAGGAAGCCGCTGTCGAGGCGCGCTTTGCGCGTTTCTCGGCGCCTTTTTCGGCCGGCGGCGACGGCGGCGCTGATGGCGGCGGTGGTAGGGGAGCAGATGGCAGAGGTGCGTTTAACGGGAGGTCTCAAAACGGGGATGCGGTGTACCACAGGCGGAGAACGCTGTCGTGGTCGGATCTGTCTTCGTCGGAAAGCGAGGCGGACAACAACGAGGATACTCTGACGGCGCGACGCGGCAGCAGACCCGTAGTGATGTCGCGCGCGCCAGACTGGGGGAGAGACGGGGCGGGAGCGGCGGGCAAGGAGGGCAAGGCGGGCAAGGCGGCGGGCATTGACGGCGGGGCGGAAGGGGCACAAGGGGCGGAAGGGGCAGAAGGGTCGGAAGGGGCGGAAGGGGCGGAAGGGGCGGAAGGGGAAGCGCGCAGGGGGCGGCGGAAGCGGAATCTGAAGTACCGAGCCGTTGCGGCCGCAGCGGCGGCGGCGGCGGCGGGCGCGGCTTCTATCTTGAAACGCAGCGGCAGCTTGAGGCGAGAAAATAGCTTCAAAGAGGGAGGGGGAAGGGACCTCCGCGGAGACGGGCGCGTGGGGGAGGAAAGGACGGCAGCGGTTGGGGCAAGGGGGGGGGCAGCGGGCGGCCCAATGCTGGCGGGAGCGCGGATGCGCGCGGCTGCGGGGGTCGTGCGCGCGGCCAATCCCGCGGAGGCGGGAAGGGGTTCCTCTGGAGGCGAGAGTCCGCGGAACGGCCGGCGGGGTCAACCCGAGGGTGTGCGGGGTGCGCGAGGTGCGCGGGGTGAGCAGACTCCGCGGACGCTTCGGACTCCCCGGTGTCAGACAGAGGGTGCGGGGAGCGCGCGGAGTGCGGGGAGTGCGGGGAGCGCGGGGAGCGCGCGTGATGAGCGGAATTCAAGGAATCCGCGGATGCCACGCTCCTGGAGCGACGCGTCTGGTAACCGCGGACTTGAAGGGCATCTTGAAAACCGGGGGGCGGGACTCGAAGGGAGTGACGCGTCTGGAAACCAGGGGCTGGGGGAACTTGAAAAGTATATTTTCGAGGGGCCTCAGAAACGGACTCAGCAGACTCTGAAGTTGCCGCGCTCCGGGATTATGGCGCCTCAACAGCAGGGGTCAGGGCAACTTGAAGAGTCGGTTTCTGAGGTGCCACAGAAACGGACTCAGCAGACTCCGCAGATGCAGGCGCCTCAACAGCAGGGGCCAGGGCAACTTGAAACCCGGGGGGCGGGACTTGGAGGGAGTGACGCTCCTCAACAACAGCAGGGATCCGGGCAACTTGAAGACTCTCTTTCTGAGACGCCTCATGGACGGACGCCGCGGACGCCGCGGACTCCGCGGACTCCGCGCTCCGGGATTAAGGCGCCTCAACACCAGGGGCCAGGGCGACTTGAACGTGCGCGGATTCCGCCCACGGGGCAGAGCAGCAGGGGGAGCAGCACAGCAGGGGACGCCTTTAAGGCGTCTCAAGGGCAGTGCAGCAGTGGTAGCAGCAGTGGTAGCACAGCGACTATTTTTGAGGCGCCTCAAAAGTCAGGGCAACTTGAACGAGCGCGGATTCCGCCCACGGGGCAGTGCAGCAGGGGTAGCAGCACGGCGCGGGGCAGCGGCGCCGGGAAGGGGAACCTTGGGGGAACGAATGGGGGAATGGGGAGCCTTGGGGGAACGAATGGGGGAATGGGGAACCTTGGGGGAACGAATGGGGGAATGGGGAGCCTTGGGGGAACGAATGGGGGAATGGGGAACCTTGGGGGAACGAATGGGGGAAAGGGGAGCCTTGGGGAAATGGATAGGGAAATGGGGAGCCTTGGGGAAATGAATGGGGGAATGGGGAGGCTTGGGGGAATGGATGGGGGAATGGGGAGCCTTGGGGGAATGAATGGGGGAATGGATGGGGGAGTGAATGGGGGAATTGGGAGCCTTGGGGGAATGGATGGGGGAGAGGGGAACCTTGGGGGAATGGATGGGAGAATGGGGAGCCTTGGGGGAACGAATGGGGGAATGGGGAGCCTTGGGGGAATGAATGGGGGAATGGATGGGGGAATGGGGAGCCTCGGGGGAGTACTCGGTATGTGGAGTCGTGGACGTGCGGCGTCCATGCCTGAGTCAGCTATGCAGTCGCTGGTGATCGGACGGCAAACAGCAACCCTCGGTAGTGTAACAGGCGCAGCAGCAGCTGGAAGTGACTATAACGAATCTCAGGGAACAGTGGATGAGGCCGGGCTCGCGGCAGTGGCACTCTCTTGTGAGGCGGGAAGTGACTATAACGAACCGGAGGAAGAGGCGGAGGAGGAGGAGGCTGGTTTCGTGGACCTCGCTTGGGACGCAGCCAACAGGGCTGCAGCAGCTTGGGGAGGAGCACCAGATGCAGCAGGCGTGACTGTAACGGGGGGAGCATCAGCACAGGGGGGCGCACATGTGACAGGGGGAAGAGTGGCAGTAGGGGGGTCGGAGGAGGGGGCGGCGGGAGGGAGGACGCAGCGGCCGCTGGAGCGACAGCTGTCGAGGGCGCTTGTGAGCCTGAGGGAACGTATAACGAGGACAGGGGGCCCGGGGGGGAGTGGAGGGACAGGGGGGAGCGGGGGGGCAGGGGGGACAGGGGGGACAGGGGGAAAAGGGGGAACAGGGGGAACAGGGGGGACAGGGGGGATCAAGGATGGGGAAATGGCGCCACGTACCGATGCGCATGAGGTGGGAGTAGGAGAGATGATTCCCCTCCGGCGTACCGGGATAAAATATTTCTGAGGCGCCTCAAAAACAGCTACTGATAGGCCTGAGGTGGGGTTGGGAGTGGAAGAGATTCAAGGAAGAGATGGTGCCCCTCCAGGATCCAGCATATCGGGTCTGCCTGCCTGTCGTGACTGTTGAGTCGACTCAAAAGTCACCCTCATTTTATTGCCACACAACACCTTCGCCTTGGGGAAGAGTGGCGCCCCTCCAGCATACCTCCTCCACTGCTCAGCTCCTCTTGTGAGGTGAGGAGTCTACTTTTGAGGCGCCTCGAAAATAGACTCCTCACGGATGGCGCCCCTCCAGCATATCATCTCCACTGCTCAGCTCCACTCCACACTACCTTTGTCTCCGCTCTTGTTTTGATCTTGTAGAAGGTCAGAGCCTGGTTTCTGTTCAAGCCCTTGGCTAAAATTACAAAGCTGGGCCTCGCTCGAAACTTGTATTTCTCCGTTTTGGTAGAATTAATTATGTTTTTACAAGATTGATCCTTCTGCTGACAATGGAAGTAACACCGTGCTGCAGCACTTCCTCCAATGAGTAAAGATTGATCCGTGGGAACTTACTTACACCTGTGCGTCCCCCATCAAAAGAGCGGAGTGGAGGCTAGGGTACTACCAATATGCCATGCACAGTACTACTAACACTAGTGCCTTGCTCCAAAGCAATAAGCCGCTCGCTTGGAGATACCCAGGGGGGTGTGCAGGGGAAGCAGGCCGGGCCCAGCGAGGCAGAACCCATAGACGCCATAGAAAAGGACAGATAATGCCATGAACAGCAGCATGACCAGCACAGTACTACTGGCAACTGCTACCTCCAAAGCACTCAGCTGCGCGCTTGGAGATGCCCAGGGGGACGTGCAGCGGAAGCAGACCGGGCTCCCCAGCGAGGCAGAACCCACAGACGCCATAGAAGGAGTGGAGAATGTCAGGGAACCCCCCGGGGTGCTTGCTGAAGCCGCCGTACCTCTGGGAGATGGTAGAAGGGGGCGAAAAAGAGGAAGAGGGAAAGGTGCTGGAGAGGGAGTGGAGAATGTCCCTCTCCCGAACCTGCGGCGCCTCGCAGCAATAGGATGGTTGCTGATTCCACCTTACCACTGTGAAGACAAAAGCAGGTGAATGAGGGGGAATGCGCGAGCTCGATCACTTTTGAATCGACTCAAAATTCACCTCGCGAGCTCGATCAGCGGGTTCAGTCCACTGAGATAAACTGGCACTTGAGTCGAGCTGGCTCACATGCCACCCAAGGTGACTAAAAAAGCACCTGAGCTGATTTGAAAAAGCACCTGAGCTGATTCAAAAGGAACCTGAGCTGACTCAAGCACCTGAATTGACTCAAAAAGCACCTGAGCTGACTGACCGTGTTCTGGCAGGTGAAGAGGAAGCTGCGGAGAGCAACGAAGTCAATGAGTTGGTCTGCGCCAAGCATGCTCAGTGTGCCGCCCACCCTGATCCAGAGGGGATAGCGGGTGACATGGATAGGTAGTGACAGATTTGGTCCCAAGCACGCTCAGTGTGCCGCCCCCCCTGAGTCATCGGGATCGGAGGCAACTCAAATGAGGAGGCAGCAGGCGATGCAAGTGAAACACAAGAGAAAAGAACCAAATTGAGCATCACATGTTGACACAGCATCATACGAGATGGGGCATACAGACCTACAGATGTGGCATCGGACGAATGGGTATGTTGACGTGCCGGAATAGGGATGAGCATAAGAACGGGGAAGACGAGAAGGCTCACCAGAAGGCATAGCACGTGTCAGCTGGCTTGTTGGGCCGCCCCTGAAACCCCCCCTCCACTCCCTGCCTCTGATGCCAGTGAGAAAGGATGGGATGGAGCTGGGATGAAGAATCGTCCAAAGCACAGACAAGTGGGTTCGGAATCCGCTACAGCCTCAATCTCTTATGCGTCGCCCCTGAAACCCCCAGTCTGCTCCTTACAGGTGGTTTGTTTTTTAGAATTCTCAAAAACAAAACACTCCTTACATGCGGTTCCTTCCAGGCCGATGGGAGGGAAAAGGAGGGGAGGGGGGATGAGAATGAATGCAGAAGGAAAGCAAGCGAGGTCACTGTGTGTAGTGAGGTACAGCAGAAACAGAAACTTTGGTAGAAGTCTAGTTTTGAGGCGCCTCAAAACTACAGCAGAAACAGAAACTATGGTAGAAACTGCACTGACATTTTAAAGGACACTGTATATGGTTACTCTCCCAAAAATAGGGAGGTTACTCTGTGTGCAGTGTGATCCAATCGTTACAATGTCACACAACACTTTTGAGTCGACTCAAAAGTGTTGTGTGACATTGTAACAAGGTGACTTTTGAGTCGACTCAAAAGTGTTGTGTGACATTGTAACGAGGTGACTTTTGAGTCGACTCAAAAGTGTCGTGTGACATTGTAACGAGGTGACTTTTGAGTCGACTCAAAAGTGTTGTGTGACATTGTAACGAGGTGACTTTTGAGTCGACTCAAAAGTGTTGTGTGACATTGTAACGAGGTGACTTTTGAGTCGACTCAAAAGTGTTGTGTGACATTGTAACGAGGTGACTTTTGAGTCGACTCATAAGTGTTGTGTGACATTGTAACGAGGTGGCTTTTGTGTCGACTCAAAAGTGTTGTGTGACATTGTAACGAGGTGACTTTTGAGTCGACTCAAAAGTCACCTGGTTACTCTGTGTGCAGTGTGATCCGACTTTCCATCCCAGCAACAGTGGGGCAGTTACTATGTGCTAAGTGCAGATGCCTAGCAAAAGCTGATAAAAGAGCATATCAGAAGCCACCATTTTTTTGGCGTCTATTTACGAGGCGTCTATTTATGAGACGTGTATTTTTTAGGCGCCCAAAAAAAAGGCTGCAGCGGCATAGCAAATGGTGATAAGAGAGCATACCTGAAGGCACCAGTCAATAAGTGGAAGCAAGTTGGTCGACGGGAAATGGGAGATGCATGTTTGCACGTCTGCTGCTGCTGCTGGCTCTTCCTGAGCCTCTGCCACCGCCGGCTCATCATGCGAGCCTGCTGTTGGTGTTGGCAGCGATTGCAGCAGCGACAGCAGCAGTGGAAACTGTGATAGCTGTGACGACCCCAGTGCCGGTGCTGATGACGATGGTGATGGTGACGTTGGCAATAATGACGATGACAACGACGCTGCTCCTGCTGCTGCTGCTGCTGCTGCTGCCAATGGCGAGGAAGAAATGAGTTGCAACGCTGCCACAGCACAGTAGGTCGCTCCTCCTGCACTTATGGAGATGAGGATGGTGGTGCAAGGATGGGAATCGGGTTAATGGTGTGGTGACGGATTTCCACATGAATGGTTTGATGCACTCAATTCAGTCCCCAAAGCACACAACCGCATGCCCCCCAGAAACATTCCCCATCGATATACTTCCGGGCAAATGACCCTGGAAAATGCACATTCTGCCTAGGAAAATCGCTAGATCACTACACTCCTGAAACTGCTTATGCAAGAAAGGAAGCAAACAGCTCTCCAAGAAGCGTACCGTGTGATTCAAAACCGGGGCCGAGGCCGAATCCCCCATCAAATGACTGGGGGAGAAAGAGAGAGGGGGATGAGGGGAATGGGGATTCCGTAGACAGTTTTGAAGTCACCTCTGCATCTCAATGTGTGCTTCCCGATAGTTAGCCGGGAAGGAGAGGGAGAAAAAGGGGAGGGGGGGGGGAAAGAAACAACAGTTTCTTAGCTGTCTCGAGTTCGCAGAGGGGAGGTTTGTCCCTAGTTATAACTGACAGATTCTTTGTATATCAGGTTATACTTGGCCAGGGCAGGTGTAACAACTGCATCTGGTGAAGAGTGTAACCATGTAACCATCACCCACCCCATCCTAAAAGCCCCAGCCCCACGCCATGTGCTTTTGAGTCGACTCAAAAGCAGATCCAATCTTGAGATAACGAATCCTTGCTCACAAGGCTATCTAAAGCCCCAGCCCCACGCCATGTGCTTACCTGTGACCTTTGAAAGTAGTTCACAGCATGGCAATGTCCACTACCCGCCTGTGCCCCATGATGCGGGCTGACTTTTGAGTTGACTCAAAAGTCAGCTCCCCACTCCCCGCCTGTCCCCCATGATGCACCTTCTCCCCACAGGTACTGCCTGATGGGCTCACTGACAGCCTTCAGCACCACCACATGACCCCCCACCCAGGCCTACCAAAATCACCCCTATCAAACTCCGCAGGGTCGATCTTACTTGTGACCTCTGGATGTAGCTGACAGCACGAGCAACGTCCACTCCCCGCCAATCCCCGATCATGCTAGAAATAGCCGCTGCCATGGGAATTGTCGGGAGTGGTTTAAGGGAGACAGGAAGAACAGAGGGGAAAGGGCTATGAGAAAGAGGCTTATTTTTTAGGCGCCTCAAAACTAGACTCCTCAAGGAGGGAGTTGGAGGGGGAAATTTCGGAAGGCAGGGAACAAGTGTGCACTGCCTGCTGCTGTTCCATGGCATGACCATAACCAACCCAAGAATACAACGCTAGGGCGTGCTATGTGGTGACGCCATGCAACGTCTACCGTGCCAGCGCCCCTTGTCCACACAATCTACCATGCCAGCGCCCCTTGTCCACCCGGTCTACCGTGCCAGCGCCCCTTGTCCACACGGTCTACCGTGCCAGCGCCCCTTGTCCACACGGTCTACCGTGCCAGTGCCTCTTGTCCACACGGTGTACCGTGCCAGCGCCCTTCGTCCACACGGTCTACCGTGCCAGCGCCCCTTGACCACACGGTCTACCGTGCCAGCGCCCCTTGTCCACACGGTCTACCGTGCCAGCGCCCCTTGTCCACAAGGTCTACCGTGCCAGCCCCCCTTACCCACAAAGTCTACCGTACCAGCGCCCCTTACCCGCACTGTCTACCGTGCCGACACCCCTTGCCCACAGTGTCTACCGTACCAGCCTTCCCACCAGCAGCCCTTACCAGCGCAGAATACGAATCGCATGTCGGACTCGCTGCCACACACGACGGGCATGAAACTGGGGAGGAGAAGGAGAAGCAAAGGGCAAGGGCAGGAGGGAAAGGAACTGGCAAGTCCGAACCAGGAGGGATGGCAATGAAGGGAGAAACATGAGCTTTTAAAAAGGAGAAGGCGCATAGAAAGGTAATAGCAAAGTGGGCATATGATATATATACATATATATACATATATATATATATATATATGCGCGGATGAATAACTCACCTCTCGTCACCCAGCTGTAGATCTCGCAGAGACCTAGCCACGCCTCGCACCTCGCCTGCCCACACGCTGCTGCACCTCCTCAGATGCTGCAGGCTATTTAAGAAATCCAGAAAGAGACGTCAACTCACCTCCCATCTTGTAACTGCAGCTCTCTCAGAGACCTAGCCATGCCTGGCAATTCCCCTGCCCCCGATGCATCTGCACCTCCCTCCCTTCCACTCCCCCTATCAACCCCCTTCCTGCTTGCTCCATCCGCGCCTTCCCTTCTTGCTTGCTCCATCTGTTCGCTTGCTGCTTCCGGTTCCTCTTCTCGTCCCTCGCCTTCTGGAACGGCCCCTTCTCCACTCAAATCCGCTGCTTCATATCCCTCTCGTGTAACGGCATCCTCCTTTCCTCCCCGTGTCCCTGATTTTGCAGGGTGTTTTTGAGAATTCTCAAAAACGGCCCCCTCACGACTCAAATCCGCTGCTTCATCTCCCCCTCTCGAAACAGCACCCTCCTTTCCTCCCCGAGTCCCACCAGGAATCCCCAGGGTCGCGAGGATGGCGAGGGCGGTGTACGTCATCGCGATGTGGCTGCAGTCGTAGGGGGACTGCTTGGGCGCCTGGGGGCGATATGGGCGAGATAACGGGGTACAATGGGGTGCAAAGGGATAATTACGGATCTTGCGCTTTAAAGGACTGTATTCCAAGCTGCAATCCCCCAGATTGGCGAGGATGGCCAGGGTGGTGTACGTCATCGCGATGTGGCTGCAGTCGTAGGGGAACTGCTTGGGCGCCTGGGGGTATACAAAGGGGTGCAAAGGAGTGCAAAGGGCTTTCGAGTCTCTGGTGGACTTTGGTTGAACACGACCAGCATCACCCAGAGTGGCGAGGATGGCAAGGGCGGTGTAGGCCATGGCGATGTGGCTTGGACGCCTGTGTATAAAAAGGGGTCCAAAGGGGTGCTCTCGTAACGGCATCCAGCTTTCCTCCCCGAGTCCGACTGGGAACCCCCAGAGTGGCGACGATGGCAATGGCAGTGTAGGCCATGGCGATGTGGCTGCAGTCATAGGGGACTGCTTGGGCGCCTGGAAAGGAGGAGGTTGATGGGGGGAACAGAATGGCTTTTGAGGCGCCTCAAAAGTTGGGCGCGTGGAAAGGAGGAGGGTGCCGGGGGGAACAGAGGGGGAAGGGACGCCTTGTCACAATCTGAAGACCAAGGGTGGTGCGGTGTAGGCCATGGCGATGTGGCTGCAGTCATAGGGGGACTGCTTGGGCGCCTGGAGTGGACAAGGCTGATATCTGCGGTGCAAAGGGGTGCAACGAGATGCCAAGGGCTGTAGCATCCTCCACGCACTGTGACTGAAATCGGGATTTCCCAGAGCGTCAGGGATGACGAAATGGGTGGTGGACGTAGTTCTAGTGATGTTTTCTACCAGAAAAGAAGGTGAAATTGGTGGAAAAAATCAAGGAAGAAACAGAGAACGGGGGATGGAAGTGGTCAGTACGAGGGTATCAGGTAGCCTGGTAGTAACGGGTATGGGGTTTGGGGCACTTGGAGAGCACACAGCAATGAGACTTACCCCTTGAGTGCTGTATTTCACTCCAATAGAAGGCGACCCTCAATATCCTAGGACGCCAGCAGCCCGGCACAAGGGACCCTCACTGCAACTGCTGCACCCTGCTGTTTCCCTTCGCTCCACTCAAACGTCACACTGAGACTTACCCCCTGAGTGCTGCTCTTCACTCCAATAGAAGGCGACCCTCGAAACCCTAGCACTTCTGCTCCCAGGCACAAGGCGCCCTCGCTGCCAATGCTGCACCCTGCTGTTTCCCGTACCTCGCTGCTGCTTGGAGCCACGTCAGCACCCACTTGCAGGGAAAGGGATGACACGTCAGCACCAGCTTCCACAGAAAGGGTTGACATGGATGTGGCAACTTGAGCGAGTGGAGGGGGAATGGTGGTGGCGACAGGATCTGTTACATGGTTACCAGCCTTTGCATGGGTGAATCCAGGGTCCAGGACCTTGAGTGAATGCACCCAGTTGAGAATCTTCTGGCGGTCGACCTGAGAAATCAAGCATAAGATAATTAGACAGTTTGATAAGTGGACCGGTTACATGGTTACCAGTCTTTAAAGGGGTGAATTATGAGTCCAGGACCTTGAGGGAATGCACCCACTTAGGAATCTTCTGGCAATCAACCTGAAGGCATAGTGTAAGCTTTAAGTCAAACTATGACATCGGATTGTTCATAATGCTGATGCTGACAATGCCGGTGCTTATACTGCACCTGACTGCTTATAACGCGTACCTGGTCGAGAGCCCGTGAGAGATCCAGAGCGACAACGCAGAAGTACGCCAGGGTGAGCTGGTGGTTGCTGTGTGAAGTCAACTCACGGTGCAGGTGCCAATGATGGTGATGCTTATAACGCGTACAAGCCTTGTCAAGGGCTTGCGGGAGAGCCAAAGAGACGACGCAGAAGTAAGCCAGCGTGAGCCGGTTGCTGTCATACATACTAAGGAGGACTAATGGTTGTAACGGTGATGCGTATAACGCGTACCTGGTCGAGAGCTTGTAAAAGGTCTAGAGCCACGACGCAGAAGTAAGCTAGCGTGAGCCGGTTGCTCTCCTGCGACTCGTACGCGGCGGGAAGACCGTTGAGGCAATTAACGAAGTACGACACGTGGCGATCTCGCTCGAAGCGCGGCTGTTTCCCGCCGGCTTCAGTGGCATCTTCTGCCGAGGACGACATCGATGCGATGATCCCGAGGCTCGAATTCGTCTGATTCAGATAACACAATCTAGAGACCGCGTTGTACACAATTCGTCGATTCGTCTGGTATTAGGATTCTGATTATTGAATTGGCTCGCTGGAGTGAGCAGCCTGCTGGCAAAAATTCCCGTCATGGCATGATGCTGTCAGGTGGCGCGAAAATGTGTGTCAGGAAAGTGGTAACTCCGGCTACCGGTTAACGAAGATCTCTACTGAAGTGGGCGAAGAGGTCCGGGCTCTGAATTACAGGGTTCTGCTTTCTCAACTGTCTTCGCCAGAATCGTGAAATATCGAAATACATAGATATGTTACGGTTTCGATATGAAATACAAGTAATACAATCATCAAACGCTTGGTACAACAAAACACCTAAAATCCCTTGACTTCATGGGAAGGGCCATCAAGGGCGAAGCCTGAAAAATGTCCACTGGCCTACAATCTCTTCCCCCCTCGCTTAAATCCCTTATCATCTGACCAAAACTTGGTCCCCCCTTCAGCCTCAACCACCCACTCTCCCCTTCCAATCACCCCTTCCCCAGATGCTGCCTTCTGGGAGCCTTCCCCACCCTTCTTCCACAGCCGTACTTTCTCAGGGGCAGGCAAAGATTTATGGATGCCCTTTTTGCTGCCCCGGGTAGACGAAACTCCAGTGTACACTGAAGCCGCTGAAACATAACCTCTTTTAGACGATGCCGATGACGACAATAAAGAGGATGAGGCATGAGACGAAGGGGCAGGAGGAATACCTTCCTGCTCTGCCAGGTGTCGCCACCTGATTCGCGGAGCAGTCAGGTGGGTTCTGTGCAAGTCAACCTGAACTTGAGAGTGCAGGAGAGCTTCCTTCCTCTGCAGCCAGATCACACCCCCCCCTGCTCTCACCTGCCCGCCCATACTAGGGCAAGAAGCTGACATCGGACCAGCCAATGAGATTTCGCCACGTGGCACGTTCCACACCAGCCCTCCTGCACACTCCACTCCTGTCCATGCCCTCCCCTCCCCCACCGACCCTCTCTTCCCTTTCTCACTCTTTCCACCATCCCGTCGCTTTGAACCTCCACCACTTCCTGCCAAGCCATGCCGCCCATGCCCTACCTCCCCCTGCTGCTGCCTCTGAGTACTCTCAGCGTCCTTCATCAGCCTCGAAATGCCCCTTATCGAACCAGACACTAACGAGGATGGCAGGCTGACCCAGCCTGTAACAGGGCCGTGTGCAACCACATGAGCATCGGCAGTCAGCCACCATTCCTGTGCTCCAGCCAGCTCAGAATCGTGCTCCTCAAGCCGTGTCTGCTGCTGCTCCGAATGCTGCTGCCTGGGCCCCAACTGAGTCTGTTCCTCTGACTCCACTCCTTCATTCTGTTTTTGAGGCGCCTCAAAAAGTGACTCCACTCCTTCATTCTGTCTTGCACTCCTGCTGCTGCCATCGCTCGCACCATTCTCGTCCCCATCGGCCAATCTCGCTCTACTCTTTACACCGGCCATGGCTTCTCTTGCCGAGCCTTCCCCTGCCGAGCCTTCCTCTGCCGAGCCTTCACCTGCCGGTCCAGACTCGTTCTTTTCCGAGTCAAGTTGAGCGAGAGATGCCCGGGTGATGATCACACGAGGAAGATTGACGTGGAAGATTCCTGGAAGGCTGCAGGTGACAGAGCCAGTGAGGGAGAGGCGGGATTCCAATGCGCTCCAAGCCTGTGAGCGCACCGACAGGGAGATGAGGGGATATCAGGGAAGGGGACGTTGTCACATCGGGGGATGGGAGATGCAGGGGAGATCAGGGGAGAGCACGGAAGGGGAGATCAGGGGAGAGCAGGGGAGGGGAGATCAGGGGAGAGCACGGAAGGGGAGATCAGGGGAGAGCAGGGGAGGGGAGATCAGGGGAGAGCACGGAAGGGGAGATCAGGGGAGAGCAGGGGAGGGGAGATCAGGGGAGAGCACGGAAGGGGAGATCAGGGGAGAGCAGGGGAGGGGAGATCAGGGGAGAGCAGGGAAGGGGAGATCAGGGGAGAGCAGGGAAGGGGAGATCAGGGGAGAGCAGGGAAGGGGAGATCAGGGGAGAGCAGGGAAGGGGAGATCAGGGGAGAGCAGGGAAGGGGAGATCAGGGGAGAGCACAGAAGGGGAGATCAGGGGAGAGCACAGAAGGGGAGATCAGGGGAGAGCACAGAAGGGGAGATCAGGGGAGAGCACAGAAGGGGAGATCAGGGGAGAGCACAGAAGGGGAGATCAGGGGAGAGCACAGAAGGGGAGATCAGGGGAGAGCAGGGGAGGGGAGATCAGGGGAGAGCACGGAAGGGGAGATCAGGGGAGAGCAGGGGAGGGGAGATCAGGGGAGAGCAGGGGAGGGGAGATCAGGGGAGAGCACGGAAGGGGAGATCAGGGGAGAGCAGGGGAGGGGAGATCAGGGGAGAGCAGGGAAGGGGAGATCAGGGGAGAGCAGGGAAGGGGAGATCAGGGGAGAGCACAGAAGGGGAGATCAGGGGAGAGCAGGGGAGGGGAGATCAGGGGAGAGCACGGAAGGGGAGATCAGGGGAGAGCAGGGGAGGGGAGATCAGGGGAGAGCACGGAAGGGGAGATCAGGGGAGAGCAGGGGAGGGGAGATCAGGGGAGAGCACGGAAGGGGAGATCAGGGGAGAGCAGGGGAGGGGAGATCAGGGGAGAGCAGGGGAGGGGAGATCAGGGGAGAGCAGGGGAGGGGAGATCAGGGGAGAGCAGGGAAGGGGAGATCAGGGGAGAGCAGGGAAGGGGAGATCAGGGGAGAGCAGGGGAGGGGAGATCAGGGGAGAGCAGGGGAGGGGAGATCAAGGGAGAGCAGGGAAGGGGAGATCAAGGGAGAGCAGGGAAGGGGAGATCAAGGGAGAGCAGGGAAGGGGAGATCAGGGGAGAGCAGGGAAGGGGAGATCAGGGGAGAGCAGGGAAGGGGAGATCAGGGGAGAGCACAGAAGGGGAGATCAGGGGAGAGCACAGAAGGGGAGATCAGGGGAGAGCAGGGGAGGGGAGATCAGGGGAGAGCAGGGGAGGGGAGATCAGGGGAGAGCAGGGGAGGGGAGATCAGGGGAGAGCAGGGGAGGGGAGATCAGGGGAGAGCAGGGGAGGGGAGATCAGGGGAGAGCAGGGGAGGGGAGATCAGGGGAGAGCAGGGGAGGGGAGATCAGGGGAGAGCAGGGGAGGGGAGATCAGGGGAGAGCAGGGGAGGGGAGATCAGGGGAGAGCAGGGAAGGGGAGAGCAGGGGAGAGCAGGGGAGAGCAGGGGAGGGGAGATCAAGGGGCATCAGCGGACTTCAGAAGAGGACTTATTGTCAGGCACCGAAACAAGCGTGCTTGCAAGAAAGCATAAACGCAAGAAAGAAGTCTTGATGGGAAGCGACAGCATACATACAAGGCCGCCTGAGCTGAATTGCGTTCCTGACTTTGAATCCGATACAAGCACATTCCCTGCAATCACAAAAAGAAAGAGATAGCTCGGTTATGTATTTTCGCCATATTGCCATTGCTGTACTCTCGATCCAAAATGCATGGTAGAGAATTCGGCATTGCTAATTTTTATTCACCTGAGACGTTGATTGTGGAATCCAGTGCTTGTGCTGAGTCGCCTCGAAACGCGTACAGAGGCCTACCTTCCTGAAACAACTGTCCTTCGACCTGCAAGGGTGGTGGGCACATGAGGACGGGAGAGGCGGGGAGAGGAGGGGAGAGGAGGGGAGAGGAGGGGAGAGGAGGGGAGAGGAGGCGAGAGGAGGGGAGAGGAGGGGAGAGGAGGGGAGAGGAGGGGAGGAGGAGGGAGAAAGAGCAGGGGGAGGCGATAATTGGAAAGAGGGAATGGCGGACAGGGGAGGGAACTGGGGACAGGGGAAGGGGGAACGGGGGAATGGGGACGGGGGAATGGGGACGGGGGAATGGGGACGGGGGAACGGGGACGGGGGAATGGGGACGGGGGAATGGGGACGGGGGAATGGGGACGGGGGAATGGGGACGGGGGAATGGGGACGGGGGAATGGGGACGGGGGAACGGGGACGGGGGAATGGGGACGGGGGAATGGGGACGGGGGAATGGGGACGGGGGAATGGGGACGGGGGAATGGGGACGGGGGAACGGGGACGGGGGAATGGGGACGGGGGAATGGGGACGGGGGAATGGGGACGGGGGAATGGGGACGGGGGAATGGGGACGGGGGAACGGGGACGGGGGAACGGGGGAGAGAGGCGAAAAACAAGAGGGCAAGATGGCGGTGTTGTGCACAGAGCTGAGGGCGATAAGAGCGGTTTCTGAGAATTCTAAAAAAAAAGAGGCTGATAAGAGCAGCCTGATTGTACCTTACTCGCAACAATGCCACCTTCCGCCATCCCTTGCGGTTTTCTTTCATCCTTCCCTTCACCATTCCCCTCCACCTCCCCCTCTCTCGCCCCGCTGGAGCGCAGCGAATCGGCGCGCAGAGACCACGCCAGCTGGCAGCCGCCCGGAGAATCTCCCGCGCTGACGAATCGGTGAAGAACCACGCCGCGAGCGCTGAGCGATTCGGATGTAGCGGCGTCGCCACCACCGCCACCACCACTGCCGCCAACACTGCCACCGCCGACATTTTTCCGAGCCGCCATCTTCTCCGGCGGCGGCCTTGCGCGGAAGCTGGATTTCTGACGCCTGCTGATCTGATCGCGAATCGTTCGCGAATGTTGGCCAAGCGTGGAAACGAGCTGCGAAATGTGGTCGCGAAACGCCCGTAACGCGTCGTCGCGGCCGCTTCGCGCAGCTATTCCGTCCATGGCTGCTAGGATGCCTGGTTAGAAGTAGAACGTCAAATAAATCCAAGGCTGATCAGAAGCTAGGTGGAAGGGAGAGTGAAAGAAAGCTGGAGAGCTGAATGGGAAGGGCAGATGCAAACTATACTCGACACTGGCGAATGCGTTTCAGCCAACAACTCGAAAACAGGTTCAACCTAGAAAACCCGTTGCTACTCGCAACTAATATTCCTGAATTGGGAGAAAACATTCCCTTTTTGGGCAAACGAATTTCCAACAAACGGTATGCTGAAACCTTGGCACCTATGCCATTATTGTGATTCCTGTCCGTTGCTTCCCGAGCCTTTTGTAAGCCTGGGAATAGGCAATGGGTGTGCCTCAGTGTTGAAAACATATTTGTCGAGAGGTAGGACGTCGTCCCCACCAAAGAGAAGATAGAAATACTTGAGGGTTTCCCCCAGGAAGAAAGTCTCCATCTTGTTGCGCTTGGGCGGGGGCACTCTTGACACGTCGTCGAGTGAAGTGTAGCCGCCTGTCGCGATGCGCGTGTGCTTCTCAAACGCCTGGAACATTCTCCACCCTGCCTCCCGGTACCTGGAATTGACACGACAATAGGGGGCATGGAGCATGGAAGTACTTTGAGGGTTTCCTCGAGGCAGGACGCCGTCCGTCCGCGAGAGGCAGGACGCCGTCCGTCCGAGAGAGGCAGGACGCCATCTGTCGCGCCAAAGAGAAGGTAGAAATACTTGAGGGTCTCCCCCCAAAAAAAGTCTCCATCTTGTTGCGCTTGGGCGGAGTGGGGGGGGGGGGGGGGGAAGGGGGGGGGGCACTCTTGACACGTCCACAAATGCTACGCTGAAACCCTTCACACCCAGTGCTTCCACTGTCTCTGGTTGCAGCAGGTTGTGTCTGTCCCATACCCCCCATGTGGTGGCATGCCCTTATCACACGAACCGTGGGTTCCGGGTGACCCGGTGCATGTAACGAAGAGCTTCCACTGTCTCTGGTCTCAGCAGGTTGTGCCTGTACGCCTGGTGGATCTGAATGTCCCTCCCATACCTCCCATGTACATACCCCGAGTGGTATGCCCCATAATAGCACAAGTACCGTGGGTTCCCAGTAATCCGGTGCATATCAAGCAGTGCTTCCACTGTCTCGGGTCTCAGCAGGTTGTGTTTGTCCGCCTGGTGGATCAGAGTGTCCCTCCCATACTCCCATGTGGGTATTATGTTATGCCCCTAACACACACATGATGAGTGATATCCACCCAACCCAATACAACACGAACCTTGGGTTCCCAGTAATCCGGTGCATGTAAAGAAGAGCTTCCACTGTCTCTGGTCGCAGCGGGTTGTGCCTGTCCGCCTGGTGGATCTGAGTGTCCCTCCCATAGCTCCCATGTACATACCCCGAGTGGTATGCCCCATAATAGCACACGTACCGTGGGTTCCCAGTAATCCGGTGCATATCAAGCAGTGCTTCCACTGTCTCGGGTCTCAGCAGGTTGTGTTTGTCCGCTTGGTGGATCAGAATGTCCCTCCCATACTCCCATGTGGGTGTTATGTTGTGCCCCTAACACACACATGATGAGTGATATCCACCCAACCCAGTACAACACGAACCTTGGGTTCCCAGTAATCCGGTGCATGTAAAGCAGTGCTTCCACCGTCTCTGGTCTCAGCAGGTTGTGCCTGTCCGCCTGGTGGATCCGAATGTCCCTCCCATACTCCGCATCCTGCCTAGTCCCCATGTACTCCTGCGAGTTCTCCTGCGACAAAGAGAGTACACGGGGGAAATTTGAAGTTCTCCTGTGGATCTGAATGTGCTGCGTAGTTCAGCACACAGAGAGAAAACGGCGTTGATGTGAATCAACAGCAGTAAAAGAATGACAAGAAGTCTGAAGACAACAGGAGACAACAGGAGACAACAGGAGTCAACAGGAGTCAACAGGAGACAACAGGAGTCAACAGGAATCAACAGGAGACAACAGAAGTCAACAGGAGTCAACACGAGTAAACATGCACAGACAGAAGGGTTCCTCAAATCCATTTTGAAGTAGTCTATTTCAGGCGCCAGCCCAGTGGCCGTGACCACATACATCTGGATGCACGCCTCCGTCACATTCCCTGCCAGCTCCAGCAGCGCTCATTGAAAAGAGCTGAGCGCGGAGCCATTCACAAACCACACCTATGCTGTGCGCGCACAGCCACTCACATCTGAATGCATGCCTCTGTAACGTTTCTTGCCAGCTCCAGTAGCGCCCATTGACCACAGCACGAGAAGGAGAAAAGCTAGAGATAGGAGGAGGAGAAAGCACTCACATCCATGTTGAAGTAGGCTATCTCAGGCGCCAACCCTGTGGCCGTGACCTCATACATCTGGATGCACGCCTCCGTAACGTTCCTTGCCAGCTCCAGCAGCGCCCTCCCCTGCTGAGTCAGCACACCCCTTGCTGCTGCCTCTGCCTCTGTCCGTCCCTCAGTCGCTCTTAAAGCCAAGGAACCCGGCAGGAAGCACACCTGGGGGAGAGGAATGGGAGAAGCATTGGAGCACTTGAGTCAAACTCCACAGCTCCAGCAGCGCCCTCCCCTGCTGTGGCAGCACGCCCCTCGCTGCTGCCTCTGCCTCTGTCAGCCCCTCTGTTGCTCTTAAAGCCAAGGAACCGGGCAGGAAGCACACCTGGGGGCGAGGGATGGAGGACACAAAAGGGCAGCATACGAGCCATCTCAACAGCTCTAGCAGCGCTCTCCCCTGCTGTGTCAGCACGCCCCTTGCTGCTGCCTCCACCGCTGTCAACCCTTCAGTCGCTCTCAACGCCAAGGGTTTGGGCAGGAAAGGAAGCACACCTGCAGGAGAGGAGGAAGGCAAATAGGGCAGCATATGAATAGGAAAGGCAGCATATGAAGGACAGGAAGGACAGGAAGGACAGCTGCAGGCAGCCCCTCAGTGGCTCCTTTCTGAGGGGCTGAGAACGGTTTTTTCTGGCAGGCAGGAAAGGAAGCACAGCTGCAGACAGCAGGGAGGAGATTTACTTTTGCGTCGACTCAAGAATTGATAGCACATGAACCAACCGTGCGGCGCCCTCTTGTGCTGTGTCAGCACGCCAACTTGCAGGGCACTGTCGCTGTCGCTGTTGCTGTCGCCACTGGCGTCAGTCTCCATGCACTGATGGGTCGAATTTTGAGGCGCCTAAAAAATCCACTCATCATGTGCAAGGCAGCTCTCCACATACTGATGCTCGCTCTCCAAGGCAAGTACGCCGAGGTGACTTTTGAGCTGGCTCAAAAGCCATCTCGCCAGGCAGCTCTCCACGTACTGATGGTCACTCTTCAACGAAAGTAAGCCCCTTGGGTTGGTTCTCCAGGCCACCAGCCACTTGGTGATGCCCCCCCCCACTGCCTCAGCAAGCATTGGCACTAGGTGCTCCAAGTCCTCAGCATGCTCCCATCACATGCTACCCTCTGGACACCCATTGCACGGGAAATCTATTTTCGAGGCGCCTCAAAAATAGACTCCTCACGCTTGGTGATGCCCCACACTGCGTCAGCAAGCATTGCCACTGGTTCCTCCACGTCCTCAACATGCTCCCATCACATGCTACCCTCTGGATACCCATTGCACGGCCCGTCCACATGGTAATCCACATGCACTGTGTGCTTCTCCCCACGGCCCCAGATGCAAATGCCCCACAAAAGCCCCATTCGCTCACCAGGTGGTCCATCTTCGGGTGCAGCTCCCCGTGTATCCCACCCACCAGCCACTTGCTAATCCCTCCCACGGTCCTACCGCCTCATCAAACATCGCCAGTAGCACCTCATCTCATCGGCTACAAGATAGTCCAACACATGCCCCATTCGCTCACCAGGTGGTCCATCTTGGGGTGCAGCTCCCCGTGTATCCCTGAGGGGCGCTCTGCAATATATGTCAGCCCCTTGGGTTGACTCCTGGCCACCAGCCACTTGTTGATTCCCCCCACCGCCTCATCAAACATCGCCACTAGGTAATCCACGTGCGCCCCCCTCTTCCCTCCTGACTCTCCTGCCCCTCCCCCACCCCCTTCTCCTCCCCCGCTTTCACTACCAGCACCGTCAGCAGCAGCACCAGCAGCGGCAGCAGCACCACCAGCACCAGCCGCATCTGTGTGATTCAATTGCTCATCTATTGCCGCAACAGCCGCACTGCTTGTTGTAACACTTGCGGTTACGACTTGCAGCGCCTCTGGGTGGTCCCTCTGCTGCAGGAACGCCTTGATGAGATACTCGTAGTAGCTGTCTCCCCTGGATCCCAGGCGAATGTTCTCCCCGCTAAACTGACCCGAATCCGCACTGGGAATGGAGGGAAGGAGGGAGGGAGAGAGGCGAACAGGAAAAAGGGAGAGAACGGAAAATGTTACACTCGTGGTTACCACGTGCAGCACCTCTGGGTGGTCCCTCTGCTGCAGGAACGCCTTGATGAGATACTCGTAGTTAAGGGAGAGAACGGAAAAACGGAGAGAACTGAAAATGTTACACTTGCGGTTATCGCTTGCAACACCTCTGGGTGGTCCCTCTGCTGCAGGAACGCCTTAACGAAATACTCGTAGTAAATGTCTCTCCTGGATCCCAGGCGAATGTTCTCACCACTAAAGTGACCCAGTTCCACACCGCGAAAGCAGGGAGGGAGGGAGAGCTGAACTAGAGCTGAGGGAGGAGGGAGGGAGAAAACAGAACCTGAGCTGTCTCAACAGTCACCACTTGCAGCACCGCTTGGCATTCCTTTTGCTGCAGGAATGGCACGAGGAGGTACTCATGCTGTCGCCCCTGGATCATTAAATTTTGACGCCACTGAAGTATGAAATTTTGCACACACAGAATCATACAGGTTTATTAGAAGGGACTCCGAGTCTCACTCGACGTCAGAGGGCACAAGGCAACGACTCATGCAAGTCATCCTTGGCCGCACGCATATCAATCCAGCATGCATACCACACACAGATTGTTGTCTCGCGTCTCCTCATCTCAAGTGGGGTTTCAGGCTTCAGGCTTCTCTCATACATCAGGTTCATCTTATGCACACTCGATGCCAAAGGTAATGCTGCATACT